GTAGAAGGCTGTTTGCAGTGGTTTAACCCAATCAATGAGAAATTATGGCATGGAGATATGTGATCCATGATATCCAGGTGCTTCAGTAACTAAGGCAGGCCCTTTGTAATTGCAAGTCTTTATTTATGTATTATATGGTAGAAACTTCATAACAGTGGAGATTAATGTTCATGCTACTAATAGTTACAAAATATAAAGGACATCATGTCATTTTGACCATTGACATACACTACTGCTAGAAGTGTAGGCATCCATACGATGCCAGGCCAATAGCCATGCATGGGCACAATCCCACATATGTAACTATCCCGTGGACAAGTGATTCAGAAGAACTAGAATGTCATCTTAGATTTACTGAACTTCATAAATTTAAAAAAGTTTAATTGCTTTTGGTCATCATTTACGAAATACAAGTTCTTCAAGAGACCTAATCTACACTAACATTTAAAAAAAAAGTCTTTGTCAGCTGTATATGGGGAAACGTCCACTATGCCCCTCTTACATTAAACGTTTACCTATCCAAAAACTAAATTCACTGTGGTCATTATACATTACCCTAACTACCCACCATGCCTCCGCATGCTCATTTTTTCTCTTTCTACAACTACTGCCCTCAAATTATATGTGCATCGTGTGTGCGTGAGCCATCTAGGCTTTATATATATATAAAAGTGACATACTGATGTTACAATATCATAAAAATGCCAAATGAGACTGAAGTTAAGAACATTGGGAAAAGATATTTAACTCAGGGTCTCAGATATGGAGAAATGTATTACATACATAGAAGGAACTTGACTTAGTCTAAACTAGGTACAACCAAATAAGTCAAGCACTTATACTTTTATAGTACTTAACCAGTCCATGGCTGCTAAATGAGTGAACCATTTAATAAATAAAAAACGAAAAGAGCAACAACAAAGAGGAATGTCGAAAGACTGATCACGATCCCACACTAATGTAGACTTCTTTTAATCAAATGGAGAAAGGCAGGATTTTTACCTCCAAATGCAGCACTGGCACCCGAAAACAGTAGCAATGGAGGAAGCTGTGATTGAAAAAACAAAAGTGAGCTAATTTGATGCACATTAAGAATATGAATCTTTTTTTTATAAATGCCAATATAACTTGAAGTGCATGGCAGGTTAAAACAACAGGGATATGAGACCTACCCCAACTAAGAAAGGAAGCCACTTTGGGCCCTTCAGTCGATTCTGAAGGTACGGGATCCCTGCAATCAAGTAACACTAAGCAATTTGCATACGAAAGCCCATAGTCTGCAAAGACAAAGGGAATAAAGAATACCTGTATTGAAGCCATGAATTGCACTAAGCATTCCACCAATACCAGAGCCAGCCTATCCATACAGAAAATACCACAAAAGGTTAATCACTCGCATAACAAGCCACATCCATATTACCAAGTTTACGTAGACAGTCCAATAAATATACACTGAAACATGATCTTCGTATATACACCTAGACCAACGACCCTAACATCACGACTGCTTTCAGGTACTACTTCTATCGAATGAATCAACCGTTCACCATGGGTTTATGCCCCATTATGGACATTAAGTCAATGTCAATAACATATTGTGATGCAGATTACATTAGATGGTTCCGTAGCTAATACCAACCAAGCACATAAAAACTAGCCAAGGAGCATCGTTAAGATCAGAGTTACACATTTAAATGTTGTAAATCTTTAACGTTCAGAAATAAATGCTGCAAAAAAAACCCCAATTCAAAAAGTGTTCTACTCCAAATTTCCATATCAAAACCATGAAAATTTTCACAATGAAAATAAACTGCTACATCAAGAAACTAAATTTGGCTATAGTGGGTAGCTGATAAAACGAAAGGGAACCAACTTCACACAAATTGGGGAGGAAAAAGAGAGAGACTTACAACAGCAGTGGCGTCATGAAGAACAGAAGTGATGGTCCATTCACCCTTGTCCTGAAATATCAAATAAAACAGAGCCAAGTCAGTTCTGCCAACTGTAAAATCCTCATAATCAAATCCTCAAACAGGTAATCTGCGTTATGGGTTGGTACCGAATCATGGTCCAGGAGAGAGAGACAGCGAGGGCAGCGAGGGGTGCCAAGGCCTGGATTCATGGTGGGATCATGGTGCAGATTCCCACTCCTCAGCTTCTGCTCGTACACCTCTCTCGTCCCCATATTTTTCAACTCCCAAGCAGCCAAATCCGCGCTCGCACACCAGTCCTAGGCGAAGAGAAAGTAACTGGTTCAGTGTGATAGAATTCATATGGCTAATACAGTGCACTGTTCATTAAATAAAACAAAGCCCCTTGACCCAATATCATATGGGTCTCGGTTTCACAAAGCTTTATAAAGTAATGGGCTTTCTAATTATAAAACTGGACTTTCACAAAGCTGTAAAAAGTAATGGGCTCTCTCTCGCGGACTGCCACTAATTTGGATGATCGTCTATTTTGTTGGTCATAAAAAGATGTTTTTGTGGTCTTCAATTTGTCTATTTTTTTGCAAAGATTATCTTTGAGTGGAGACTTCAAAAATAATTCAGATGATTGAAGTAAAATTCGTGTATGTTTCAAAATTGCATATTATGGAATTATGTTCTTAATCAAACAATAATGAAAAGGTGGCAACACTTTAGAAAAATCAAACTAAAATGTTCTTAATCCCGAAACACATAAAATATGAACAAAAGATGAAATAAATAGTGTGATCACATAAGTCATGCTTGTACAACTTATACATAAATAAATGATTGATGACCTACTGACCAAAATTTTGCGTGATATGTTTCAATAAAAAAATAATGCTTGTTGGAAATTGTATGTTAGTGTAAAATAAAAAAAATTATGTTTGTCTTTATAGTATAAATGGAACACTGTTTTTTTTTATAAATATTGTTTTATTTGAATATTTTAATTTATTTAAGATATTAGAGTGAACTAAATATACATATCAAATTAGAACTCTTACACAATGTGCTTTAAATATCCTTAGACGCATCAAAAAGATTTATTGTGTTAAATGTAAGTGGCAAAATTCATGCAAAATACAATTTAGTTTTCTTTGGTGTTGGTTGTTGGTTATAGTGTTTATTGTTTATTGTTGATCTAGTCTTTTCGTGGAGCGAGTTAAGGAAATATATTTCCCCTATCCAAAGAGAGAACTCTGTTTCTTCTATGGCGTTTTCATGGCAAGAGCTTGTTCTCCAAGTTCGAACTCCCACTTTATCATCGATGACGGCACTCTTCGATGCTAACAACCGCATTTGATCATTTCCCGCACTTCTTTCAATTTCCTTACATTTTAGCTGAAGGAGAGACTTTACATTTACTTAGAGAGGTAACAACCTTAAAGGTAAAGACAAGCAATCCTTCTCTCAAGATTGAACATTTGCTTGGCATGCTTCCGGTTGAATGATGACAATTTCCTCAAATGGAGCTTTTAGCTTGAATCGGTGCTCGAAGGTTACGAATTATTTGGTTATTTTGATGGTTCTCTAGTTCCTCCACCGAAATTTGCTATTCTTACATTAGAGATCACAGCTGCATACAAGGATAAAGCTTTGCTGAGTCTATTTAAAAGCCTAAAAATTCAAATATAATAGTAACATAATAATACACATTGCATTGTAGTTTACATTCTATAAACCTAACAAATACCCATATAAAAGTAACATAAAAATACACATTGTGTTGCAGTTTATATTTTACAAATAACAAATACCAATATAGGAGTAATGTAAAAGTACACTGCAATTTCTATTCTATAAACCTAAAAACACACCAAAGTAAGAGCAACATAAAAGTACACCATGTGTTGCAATTTCTATTTTATAAACCTAAAAAAATACAGATATAAGAGTAACATAAAAATACACATTGTGTTGCAATTTATATTCTATAAACCTAAAAAAAATTTACCAATATCAGAGTAACATAAAAGTACACACTATATTGCAATTTAAATTCAATAAACCTAAAACTACCAATAATATAAGAGTACACATTGTATTGCAGTTTCTATTCTATAAACCTAAAATATAAGAGTAACATAAAAGTACACAATGTGTTGAAGTTTTTATTATAAAAACCTAAATAAAAAAAATACCAATATAAGAGCCAAAAAAAAAAAAAAAACACAATGTGTTGTAGTTTTTATTATAAACCTAAAAAAATATCAATATATAAGATTACAATAAAAGTACACAATGTGTCGTAGTTTCTATTATATAAACCTTTGATTGTTAATATAAATATTTGTAAATTAACACATGGCACAAAAACAAGATTGGTGTAGTGGTTTGCAATTGAAGATTATCCTTTGAGGGACAAGGGTTGAGTACCTTCAAGTACACAAAATTTGCTCCTTTTTTTAGGGTGAATAAAGGTCAACTGAGGTGGTGGTGTCGGGTGCTTGGCAAGCAGTGGTCGACGACGGTGGGCAATAGGCTCACAGTAGTGGGTAGCGGCTGGAGGTGACTCATCGGACATGTGGTGTAGTAGGGGGAGCCTAAAACGTGATTCCAGCAGGCCTTTTTTGCCTGGGCTGGGTGTGGGCTCCACAAGCCTAGGTTGGCCCTCAGGCAAAACCAGTCCTTGCTCTAGCCTGGGTTTGCTGACGTCAGCAACAAAAAAATAAAAAATAAAAAAAAAAAGAATATTAATAATTTCATAATTTTTTTTAAAAATAAATACTTAGTCATATTTTTTACTTCCCACACTAAAACTCTATATAAATTCATTTCCTCATATTTCATGTGAATAGTGGTTGCTATAGCAATGAGTGGAAACACAACAAGCCTTTTGCAAGGGCTGTCACTATTCAAGTTCACTTGAATAGTAATAACCCTTGCCGCTCCTTACTCTTTGTCATGGCAAATAAGTGGAAGTGCTCTAATGAATGACCAATATAGAGAAACCGTAAATACTTTTTAAAAATACGTACATTAGTAGTACTTATAGGGCTTCAAATACTATAAAGACCAACTTGATTCTTTCAGTAAACTAATCAACACGCGTGCAGTTGCTTTACTATAACAATTGATTGCCATTTTCATATTTCTACACGAACAACACAAAAACCCAAAGCCCCACCACTTCCACCAACCACACTATGACCAAAAAAACACTGTGAAGAACATTGTCGAGAGAAAGAAAACAAAGCAAAGCAGCAAACAAAAAGTCAATAGTGGAAAACGAACACATCATATTCAACAAGAGCATCTCCACTTGTTGCATTGAACTTGAGAGTCCTTGCCTGAACATAGCCACGAGCAAACCGAAAAACCCCACTTCCACCAACAATTGGCATCTCTCTCACAGCTTTAACCACCGCGTTTCGACCAAAAACACTAAGGCTGCTCCCATTAAACTTACCTTCAACAAAAGCCAAGTTCATGGTCATCAACAAAGCATCCTCACTTTGTGAAGCAGACCCATAAATCCCTTGTGCTCTTCCCACAAGCTTGGAGCTTCTTTCTGGGCCCACGGTTAATGGGTCATCAAACATGGCTATGGAGCCAAATAGGGTTGGGGATTTTTTGGATGTGGGTGTTTGGGCAGCCCAAATGGCGGTAGGGTTTGGACCGCTGACAATGTCATGGAAGTAGAAGCGGAGGTGGCTTAGCTTCTCTTGCTTGTTGAGGCCAAGTGCTTGTAGAGATAGGTTTTGAGAGAAGTTTGGTGATTTTGAAGTGACCATGGTTATGAAGAAGAGAATAGTTAAGGAAATGAGGAGGGATTTGGAGTTCTTGACCATGGTTGGGAAAATGCAATTTGGAAGTATTGTGTTGAAGTTTTGTTCTTGTGCTTCTGGCTTTATACAACCCCTTGTATATTGGGGTTGTGGGTGGCATTTATAGATTATTGGAGGACGTGTAAAGTGAGAGAAAGCAAGTATGGTGGCATTGTCATTGTGACATAATCGTTTCGACAGCTGATAAGCTCACCTGTTTTATTATTAAAATGTTCATTTGAAAATAGTATGTTTACACGATTTTTAAAGTGCTTTTTAATACTTTTTGATACTTTTTAATACTTTTGAATTAATTTTGTTATTTCTCTTTCCTATTCTATTCTTATTCTACATTAATTTCTTTTTATTTCAGTTTTATATTATTTCTTTTTCTTTATGTTTAATTTTCCAACATACACTTTTTTTTTTCCCCTTTAATCTAGTAAGAAATAATTAACAATGTATATTTGCCTAAGCAAAATTACATGGGCCACATGCTGCAAAAACTCATGCCCCAGGAATAAACCTTGCAGCCATAGTTTTTTTTTTTTTTTTTTATATTTTTTTTAAAGAAAAAAAATTTTAGGTGGCCAACACCGCGTTTCGACCAAAAACACTAAGGCTGCTCCCATTAAACTTACCTTCAACAAAAGCCAAGTTCATGGTCATCAACAAAGCATCCTCACTTTGTGAAGCAGACCCATAAATCCCTTGTGCTCTTCCCACAAGCTTGGAGCTTCTTTCTGGGCCCACGGTTAATGGGTCATCAAACATGGCTATGGAGCCAAATAGGGTTGGGGATTTTTTGGATGTGGGTGTTTGGGCAGCCCAAATGGCGGTAGGGTTTGGACCGCTGACAATGTCATGGAAGTAGAAGCGGAGGTGGCTTAGCTTCTCTTGCTTGTTGAGGCCAAGTGCTTGTAGAGATAGGTTTTGAGAGAAGTTTGGTGATTTTGAAGTGACCATGGTTATGAAGAAGAGAATAGTTAAGGAAATGAGGAGGGATTTGGAGTTCTTGACCATGGTTGGGAAAATGCAATTTGGAAGTATTGTGTTGAAGTTTTGTTCTTGTGCTTCTGGCTTTATACAACCCCTTGTATATTGGGGTTGTGGGTGGCATTTATAGATTATTGGAGGACGTGTAAAGTGAGAGAAAGCAAGTATGGTGGCATTGTCATTGTGACATAATCGTTTCGACAGCTGATAAGCTCACCTGTTTTATTATTAAAATGTTCATTTGAAAATAGTATGTTTACACGATTTTTAAAGTGCTTTTTAATACTTTTTGATACTTTTTAATACTTTTGAATTAATTTTGTTATTTCTCTTTCCTATTCTATTCTTATTCTACATTAATTTCTTTTTATTTCAGTTTTATATTATTTCTTTTTCTTTATGTTTAATTTTCCAACATACACTTTTTTTTTTCCCCTTTAATCTAGTAAGAAATAATTAACAATGTATATTTGCCTAAGCAAAATTACATGGGCCACATGCTGCAAAAACTCATGCCCCAGGAATAAACCTTGCAGCCATAGTTTTTTTTTTTTTTTTTTAAATTTTTTTTAAAGGAAACAAATTTTAGGTGGCCACAAAGAAACAAAAATGCATTTAACTACACATTTTTACATTTTCTTTTTCCATGTTCTTCTCCCTCTCTTCTCTGTCATAATTATTCAGAAAATAGATATTGAATGAAAAAAAAATTGATGAACTTGTGAACATGAATTGAGTTCTCTGAATTTCGGAAAATGAAATTGAGTTTGAGACTGAGTTTCAAATTCACATTAATGGAGTTCTCTTTGTTTCATATGAGATAATTTCATACCTTCATTTTGTTTGGGTACCTTATCAGAAAGTACAAACAACCAGGGATTGAAGAGAAAGAAAAAATAAAAAAAATAAAAAAAAGAATTCTTCTCATAGAAATAATTTGGCATTCTAAGTATGTAGGGGAATTCAAAAGCCTGGGTTTTGTTCTTATAGTGATGATGGAGAAATCCAAAAGCTTGGGTTTTGTTCACTCTCATTGATTGATTGAGTACTCATATCAAAACATTAATGAAGGGTGAGGGTAGAATATGAAAGAGTAAGAACAAAAAAAGAACAAAATTGATTAAAAAATTTTAAAAAACAAAAGGGAGTGTAAGTGGAAAAAAGAGGAGTGGAAAAATCAGCTTCCTTTTCAAATACAAGATTCCTACAGATTTTATATGTTAATTGAGATTGTAATGAATTTTAATTGACTTTTATAGACTATACAAAAACTTTGACGGGATTTTGTATGGATTTTTAATGGAATTTGTTAGATTTTTATCATAGAATTTAGTGCATTTTCATAGACTTTTTCTATGGACTCTCATGAATTTTTGGGTGGTCCACTCTTTTCTTGAGTTTTTATTAAAAAAAAAAAAAAAGAAGCCAAAATTTAACCCCCAAATTCATAAATGTCAGTTTTTTTAAAAACTTTCAAATATAGCCAACAACGCACTTAAATTGACCCAAATGCCCTCTAAATTAATTATAACTCAGTTACACCTAAAAGCTAAAATCCAAAATAGTAGGAGCATAAAAAAAAAAAAAAAAGGGCTTCGTCAATTCAATCATGCCTATGAATCCTATCATAAAAACAACAATTAATGTAACTATCAAAAAGAAGAAGAAAAGGAAAAGCCAATGATTTCTTAAATCCAGGCATAAAAATCATCTCTACGACTATGGCTTGAATCGGTAGGCTTGGGAGATTTTTTACAAAAAAAAAAAAAAAGTTAAAGTCAATTTCTTGACATAATAATTTTGAATCGGTGGGTATTTTCTCATGAACTCTTATAAGTTACAGAACACATATGTTGTGTGTAGTTCATCTTTAGGTTTCTTGCTGCTTTGTTGTCACAAGTATACTTACCACCTGTAGTTTAAGATAGTTTTTTTTATGGTATCACTGAATGCAGATACTTCAAAGTCTGGTATTGCTCGGGAAGCAACACAGAATATCAGAAGAGCAAGCAAAACTATGGCTAAACCAAAGGCAAGGCAGGTTCTAGGTGTCACAATAGCCTATTGGTTTTCAAAAAGGTGACCACATTTGGTCATTTAGCCCACTTAAGAGCAGTGTCCTTGTGCTCAGTACTCAGCCTATGGCTTGGAAGAGCATGACAATTAGCCTTTTGGTTTAGGTTATAATTTAGAGAGCATTTGGGTCAATTTAAGTGAGTTTTTAGCTATATTTGATTTTTTTTTTTTAAAACTGACATTTATAAATTTAGGGGTGTTAAATTTTAGCTATTTTTGATAAAAACTCCGTTTTCTTACACGCCATGTGAGCCTTATTGGAATTTACCTAGTGTGGGTCTGCAGTTCCTATTATAAATATTTTTAAGAAGTAACGATAAGCCATTAACATGAAAAGTTTGGAGAAGTTGTTTGATATCCTCGGCAAGAAAACCAATCTAGACTCTTTCCTTTCTATTGCTACTTCCAATCCAAGCCCATTTTCAATCATTTCTCTCAAATCCTCTACCTCTCTTCTATTAACCTCACACCGAAAATCAACACAAACGGTGGATTTCATGTAATGTTACAACCCAGAAAAAAGAAAGAAAAAAAAGCTAGCAAATACATCAGTTAAGTTAATAATGGAATACATAAACATTATACTCCACAACAGCATCTCCAGTTTTGAAGTCAACCTGGTGAGTGCTAGCATGAGCATAGCCTCGGGAGAACCGGAAAAGCCCGCTTCCGCCTACTATCTATACATCTCCCTCACTTCAGTTAATAATGGAAGACATAAACATTATACTCTACAATAGCATCTCCAGTTTTGAAGTCAACCTGGTGAGTGCTAGCATGAGCATAGCCTCGGGCGAACCGGAAAAGCCCGCTTCCGCCTACTATCGGCATCTCCCTCACTTCGGATAACACGGAGTTGCGCCCCAGCACACTCAGGGTGCTACCATTATACTTCCCTTCCACAAAAACAAAGTTGAAGGCCATCAAGAGCCCCAACTCACTCTGTGAAGCTGAAGCATAAATCCCTTGGGCTTTTCCAACAAGCTTGGAGCCCAGTTCAGGCCCAACAGTCAATGGGTCGTCCATCACGACCACAGCACCAAACGCAGTCAAGGAAGTGTTTGTTGTGGGTGCCTCAGCAACTCTAACAGCCGTAGGGTTTCTGCCACTCAATATGTCATGGAAGTAGAAGTGGAGATGGCTCAGTTTCTCTCTCTTTAGACCATGTTTTGACGGAGATAAGGGTTTTGAGAAACGGTGAGCCTCTGCATTGGCAAGGGTTAAGAAGAAGAAGAAGAAGAAGAGGAAAATGGTTATGAAAATGGTGTAGATGGAATTGAGGTTTTGGATGGTCTTGGCCATTGTAGAGAAAAAGCAAAAAGGGTTTTAGGGTAAAGGATCAATGGTTTCATTTTGGGCAACTCTGATTATATATAGTGAAAAAAAATGGATTAATTAATTAATAAATAATTGGCATATGTAATATATGTATTTTCTTAAGGGCACAAACATGTGGAAAAGAAAGAGGGGTGACAAAAGTCTATGCTGAAAACAACCATAAGTCTTCAATCAAGAAATTTATTTTCCATTCTTTCTGTAGGAAAAGGAGGCTTCAATGCATTAATTAAATGATTAAAAAAATTCTTGTGGTTTACAACCAACCCATTAGTACAGTGGTTTAGAGGTTTATTCTCTCAGGTAAGATCTTGGGTTTGAATTCTAACATCCGTGTAGTGAGTTTATTATACTATTGCTCCTCTTAATAGGAAAAATTCTCAAAAAAAAATTAAAGGTCAAATGGAGTGCGTGTAGAAAGTGCAGAACGAAATGAGAGGGAAAACCCGGGTGTTAGCTAAAGACGACTAAAAACTGAGAGTCTTCTGTGGAAATATGCAATTGCATGCCAGAAAAGAAAAGTGTATACAAGGGGCAAGAAAATTGACCACCGGCGACGAAACGTGCCCCAAGTCTATTGGAATAATGCAATTTTGTGAGGGAAAGAAAAGAATAGCATGATCCATGCCTGATGGTTCCATATGTGGTCCTCATTCCAAGTCTTCTACATGGTCTTCACCAAAAAGTTGGAAAAGTGTCTACCACGGTTTGCAAAAGCTTTTAACCTGTATGGAAGGATGGTAATTAGATTGACCTCGGTGGCTTCCATGGTTTCATCCCAATTTAACTATATGCCAATATTATCCTGCACTTAAAAGTCTTGTTCTCCATCCACAAGTTCAGTAATGCCTCAGAGTACCATCCTTAAGGAGGTCAGGGGTTCGAGTCTTGTAAAGAACCTCCTGAGTAGAGCTTTCCGTAAACAGTGATCCAACTCGGAGTGGTAGCCCACTAACTACCATTTTATGTAACCAAAAAAGAAGAATTCATGTTCTCGATTCCTCACCCAACATCGCATGTAGTAAAAGAGAATGGTAAGTATTTTGGTTTGTGATAATTTTTTTTTTTTTAGTTTAGTGGTACAATACTTATCATCTCATATCTAATCAAGAGTTTCATTATTGCCATAGTTACAAGTGCCTGTATTAGAAGAACATCAAAATTTCAGTTAAGTGCTTTCTAGAAAAAATCACTTGCAAATGCTTCTTGAAGAATCACCTAAATCGCTTTTATGACCCACAAACACTTTAAAATTGTTCAACTAAACAATTTGTTAGTTATCAGAAAGTGATTTTGACTCTTCCAAAAGCATTCCCAAACAGAATTTTCACCTCAATCTTCCGACTGAAAAAAAAAAAAAAACCCCAAGAATGGTGCTAATTTTTCAAACTGAACTGGGCCTAGATAATAACTTATTTTCTACCAACCTTTAGGTAAATGTTGGGTCAGGGTTCAGATTACAAGCCCCAATAAAATAAGAACAAGCAAAACTTGTGGCCCATTATTCTTGGGCCAGCCCAATGAAACAAAACTCTTCTTGTTGACACTACAAGCCCAGCCCACATCTCAACCCCAAAATCGGATCACCGAAACCCTACCCGCCTCACTCACCGCACATACTATAAAAGCAAGATAACACATCCACACGCACCCTCATCGTCTAGGGCTTTAGCAGCCACTCTCAGAAAGAAACCTCCAAACCTTAGAGAGAGGGAGAGCAGCTCAAAATGCCGGCTGGACACGGTCTCAGGTCTCGTACTCGCGATCTCTTCTCGCGGGCCTTCAGGAAGAAGGGTTACATCCCTCTCTCAACCTATCTGAAGACCTACAGGATCGGCGACTATGTTGACGTCAAGGTTAACGGCGCCGTGCACAAGGGTATGCCCCACAAGTTCTACCATGGACGTACTGGTCGCGTCTGGAACGTCACCAAGCGCGCCATCGGTGTGGAGATAAATAAACAGGTGATTCATTTTCGTTGGGTTTTCTGTATTTTCATTTTTGGACTCTTAGTTGTTGTTTGAATGATGTTTTATGATTTGCTTCTGCGGAATGGTTGTCTGGATTTGTTGGTTCTTGTTGAAATTTCCGAACTTTTGGTTTGATTTCGACTTAATAGTGTTCAGTGACATCTGGGTACATTTAGCTATCATTGTTGTGGTTGTTTTTAGGCGGAAATGGGGATTTTATGTATATGTTTATGTGGTTTGTGGGTTTCAGATGGTTTTAGTTTATAGCTGCTAATTGTACTGTTGATGTCTAGATTATGCTGAATGAGAAGCAGGGTAATACACCTTGTTAGAGAATGGCTTATCGTGTGTCAGATGTTTATAACTCACTGCAAGGAAGATCGAGAAAAGTTGTCAATAATGTTCAGCTTCTATTGGGAAATAATAGCTATAGAAAGCTTTGTGCAGATTGTATATAGTTTATGCATGTCTGCTGGATGTGTTATGACGTGTTTGAATCAGTTTTTCCTTTATGGATCTTGAAATTAGGTTTTTAATTTATTTTCACTTGTGGAAATAAAAGATTATGTAACTTAGTGATTCTAGGAAGAACCATTTTTGTACAATGGAGATAATGTAGGTTAATCCTTTACTTGGATCAATCGGGAGCTTTGATTTGAGCACTGTAATTTTGATCATTGTCATAAATCTAGTTTCCTTTTGTCTCATGATTTGAGGAATTCTATCCTGCTTTTGCCCTGATGCTAAATGATTGTTGTATGTTTTATTTTGCAATCGATTATTGGAAGGTTTACAAGTTGTATGCTTGTGCATGATATCAGGTTGGCAACAGGATTATCAGGAAGAGGATCCATGTGCGTGTGGAGCATGTGCAGCCTTCAAGGTGTACTGAGGAATTCCGTTTGAGGAAGATAAAGAATGATCAGTTGAAGGCTGAGGCCAAGGCAAAGGGTGAGGTCATTAGCACCAAGAGGCAGCCTAAGGGACCCAAGCCAGGTTTCAGGGTTGAAGGTGCAGTCATGGAAACTGTTACTCCCATTCCTTACGATGTCGTCAATGATCTTAAGGGAGGCTATTAGATCTATTTTACGGTTGTGTTGGTTATCCCCAAGGACTGGTCTAGTTTATTAAAGTGTTTCTTTAGTTTTGTTTTTTGAAAATTTTTGAGGTACTTTCATCTGTCGCAGCAGAAACTGCTTAGTTTAATGTTTTATGATACATGATGTTTTCAAGTACAATTTTGTGCGAATATGGAAATCTTCTGGAATTATCTATGTTATTTGTGTTTTGTGCTTAAGTTTTTTCTGATTATTCCCAGCCTTGGTTTGCTTTAGAAGTGTTAGAAATAGCACCTCGTGGTTTTCTTTTTTAATGATCAAAGTTTAATTATATCAGTCCCTTTTACACCTATTTGTTTTAGATTGGACTAATTCTATTTGTTTTAGATTGGACTAATTCTGGGCTCTACTGTGTCTTTGTTAATTGTCTTAATCTAAAAACTGACACATGGTTTGTCTAAAGTCGGGAATTTTTTGAAGGTTCATAAATCCTACTTTGCTTACTTTCTATGCAAGTATGAACTTGAGAAACTTCAGCTTCAAATGGTTCTTTTGGATTAATGAGCAAATCTTAAACTATGTACTCCATGTAAGTCGTGAATTTTTGGATTCAGTTGGCATTGTTTGCTATGCACATGCATGGTTCGAATCTTTCACCCTCTATGGTCTTACCGGATTCGAACGCATGACCAAGCAAGGACCATGTTTTAACCGTAATCTTTCATCCTCATTCGCATTACGGGATTTGATCGCATGATCAAGGACCATGTTTTAACCATAATCTTTCATCCTCTATCACGTTATGAGATTTGAACTCATGACCATGATTTATACAAATCTTTGAACTCATGACCATGATTTATACAAATCATCTTTGTCCGTTTGCAGAAATTCTTGTAGCGGGGCACTAGATGAACTCCCTATAAGATAGAATCAGAAGCATTTAATCTATATAGTCTACCATGTATTGGTTTAAGAAAAGAATATAAGGTGAGCTGGGCTGGGGTTCCAACTTCAAACACAGAAACCTTGCTTTCCAATTACTCTTGTTAATTTTGTTTTCTCTCTCTACCTAAAGGGAAATTGGTTTTGTACCCCAAAAAAAAAAAATAAAAATAAAAAAAAAAGAGAAGGAAAATTGGTACCTTTACTTTTGTTGCTGACCAAAAGAAGACCTTTCTACGATTGTAATTATCCAAAGTATTTTTTTTCTGAGAACTGATTCTCCGTCTCTGAGATAAATAAACACAGCCCAGTTTTCTCTTCTTTTCAGAATTTTCTGTAAGAATCTTGGCCATAAAAAGACATCAGTCTTTTTTAAGGACTCTTTTATCTTACAAATTAATTACAATGATGAAGCTTTGAGTTTCTTTTGGTACTGAAGATGAAGGCATCCTTCACATTCTACCCTATCCTGCTATTTCTTCTCGTCTCAGGTACCTTCTCTCTTAACACCATTAACCTATTGCTTTCAATTCTTTTTTTCTTTTTCATTATTTCGGGGTTTATACTCATAACTTGCATAATTCAGCTATTGGTTTTTTTTCCCCCTTTTAATTGGGCAGTTGAATTTGGCACTTGCTCAGTGGTTCGTGGCGATGCACACGCCGTGAGGATCCCGGAGCACTCGTGCCATAAGCTGATTGATCAATCAATCAGATGTGAGCTGCAAAATTGCATCAAGGAATGCTCCAAAGAACTATCTGGTGTCGGAGTGTGCAAAAGTCGAGTCTGTTTTTGCACATACTATTGTAAGGATCCTCCAAAGTGATTATGAGTTATTTCATGAGGGCCCGAGGACACGTACATACGGGCTATAAAAGGAATATCAAGCACATAACATTGTTAATAGTGGGAGATTTACATTCAACTTCTTGTTTATGTTGTTGTTCGCTCATCACATTTGCCTTAATTATAACATGAACTTCGATCCTAACATGATCAATTTGGATAACCCGGGTTCAACCAGAATTCGTTGAGCTTGGGTTGGCCTCTTTACCCTCTCCAACTTTGTCTTCCTCTTTTCGTATTTTCTGAGAACCCAGAACACAGAAAACTGACGAGCCTACAAAATTTTGATTAATTTTAGCATAATTGGGAGCAAATTTACATGACAATGAGTTGCCTGAGAGCAGATCGATTGTGTTTGCAAACATGCAAGATCCAAGCTCCAGTTTAAATACCAGCCTGAATGCACAATCAATAATGCTCTGACAAGTAGAGTCGTATGGCAATTTCGGATAAATGCAGCACAAGAAAAGCAACATATTTTATAATTAGAAAGGAATGAAAGTTTAATGAAGGATCATTATATATATATGAGAAAATGCAAAATAGTTTGTCAGATCAGGCGTTGTCAATGTACATATTTTGCCACTTTTAATGGAGGGATGACTAATTCGAAACATAGGACCGGAGACCGTAAATCCATGTTATAGTCATAACATACACAACAAAACAAATCTTTCGGTATCAGCACGCCAATCAGCCATTGTCAAGGCCCCAAATGGTAATAGCCTACCCGACCCCATCATAAAATAGCAGCAACAGCAAGCTGCAAGCTGCAGGTGGTTATTCGCTAGAGCTTCAGTCACCCAAGAAATTATTACGATACAACAAAATACAGATCAGCTGCCACTTCACAGCTAGAGCCTCGAACTTGTGTGAGACAAGATCTATGTAAATTCATCACAAAGGTTATACAATTTTAAACAGGTTGGGACTAAACATAGTAGTCTTAAATACCCTGAAGAAATTAATTGTAAACTTTGTTACCATTTCTCATTACTGTGGCTGCATATAGTTGAGCCCAGCATACAAGGTTTCATAGTTAGTATCCACAGTTCATGCCTGGTATCCGCATCCGGGTTAATGAATCACTTATGTGCAGCATCAGCTACCGATAAAGACCAGTTCAACTTCTACCATCACAGCAATTACAAACCATTCTGGTTCATAACGAACTACACATCAATCTCATATGCAGCATGAGCTACACACAGGTAAAGACCCACTTACAGCCACCACAGCAACTAAAAACTCCTTTCATGGACTATCAGGTCAAACATTAAAATCCTAGAGTATATAACACTTTTCAGAAACAAAGAGCCAAACCATATTTCTTACCAAATTTATTCGGTATGGAGAAAAACAGATTAAGTTATTGGCCCTGCAAACAGCTCTCACTGCCAAAACAATCATACTTCTAAAACCAGCATACTGCTGCAACCAGCACCACAATCACGACCATCCATCTACAAATTAGAAACAGCACCCACAGCTACAAATCAACATCCTCTTATCCAAGCCTCAATCACTCTTTTCACGAACATAACTATAAAACCCAAGAAATAGTTCGTGATGAATCAGTCCTATAAACTGAACCAGACAACTTGAGACCATAGACTCATATATCAGTAACAGTGTAAGGCGGGAACAAAAGTGAACAATAAAATTACACACAAAAATAAAGATGAAAGGCAGATACACTAAGAAACCACACAAGCACATCCTTTGTAAGTACTGAAATACCAAATCTACAAACTACAAAGTCCATCCCAGATCAATAAAGGATATATAAAGCTCAGCATTAAATAGTTAAATACTAAAGAAACCAGTCCTACCAAAACTAGCACTCAAGACACCTACTAAAACAACGCATTATGATCAAAGATCCCTGACATCAGCAGAGCTGCAAGAAGTACACAACTCAGGGTGCTTCCATCATTTCCATACAACCAGAAACATCAATCCTGCAAAATCGATTCAAGAGTTACCAGTTCAATGCTCTTCCACCCATGCAGGAGAAAGTAATCGTTCCAGAAGCAACAAAAACTGTAGACATCAACTCACATCAACATCTGAATTTCGTGGGGATGGGGTACGAGAATCAGCAGGACGATGGCGTGGTGAAACACTTCGAGCAGTAGGGGAATGTCCATCATGACTACGTCTATCAGGGGTGGCACTGCGACTCCTGATTAGTGGGGAAGGACTCTTACGAGGACTAGGGCTATGCCGTGCAGGGGAGACACTACAATACAGATTAGTATATAAATTAAAAATAATCATAAAGGAAGAGCTAGTATTTGATTATAAACATAACTTAAATAATGATTAGCAGAGCTTAAAACCTATCAATGGAACGACTTCGAATTGGACTCCTACTTCGACTTCGACTCCGCCTTTCATCATCATAGCGCCCTCTTCTCCTGCTCCTATAGTAATCAGGGCTGGCACTGCGGCTCCTGCTTCGTCGACGATAGTCTCTGTCCCTCCCATGGTATCTGTCACGGTCATACCTATCCCAACTCCTACTGCGACTTCTCCTCCTGTAGTCACGGTCTCTGTAGTCATCTCGGTACCTGGAAGATTTTAAATAGTACGTATCACACATTCACTTGTATATCAAAAGCTTGTAAATGAAATCAGGACAAGTATTAATATGATCTCAGCATGAATTATGAACTTGATTTGCAAAATCTGCAAAAAAACACATTTGGATTTGAGTAGAAACAAATTAACTAATAGCCATGATATTCACTCTCCATACCATCCATTCAAATTGGCAAGTTCGATACATAAGATTGGTTGGAGACATTATTTCATAATACATTGTAAAATTGAAATTATAGAAATAAAAGGAACAATAACAACACAGTCTTTCTTGCTCAAGTTAAAAATACAGTTACATGAAAATGAAACTAGAAAATAAAATCAAGTCAACACTAATTGAAGGACGGCATGAAATGATTAAACTAGACAATGGTAAAATAGAAGGTTCAGTTCAGGAACCTTCAAATTATATGACAGAATACAATCCATCACAAAGAAAGACCAAGGGAAGAGACTAACCTTCTCCGAGGACTGCGACTTCTTGACCTGTACCTTGATTTTGGTAGAGCTTCAGTAATCCTTCCTTTCTGACTGAAACAAGGGAGATCAGGTAAAGAACGGTAGATAGAAGATACATAACAAACAAAATTAGCTTTTCAAGGTTTGAATTCATTATCAATGCAGTTCAAATAACCAGTTACCATCATTTCAAGTACAACTTACTGTAAATATACACACAAACGTGTCAACTACATAAACCCCCTAAACTCTTAGGCCCTTTCAAGTTAACCCCGAACTATTTAGTGTTTATGAACTCATACACGAACATGAATAAACTTTACATATGGACCATTCCATTAACAAATCTGTTAAGTGTCTGTATGGACAGTGTGGTCCCATATGTCTGCTTACATTGACTCCAAATGTAAGCCACATGTATTTATTAAAAACAAGTGGGCAAAAAAATAATAAAAAACTCTCTCTCGTCTCTATATATCTACTTCTTCCCTGTATTCTTTTTATTTTATTTTTATTACCTGCAACATCAATCATGACCAATGAACACACCACCACATCTCCTACCATCATGGTAAAAAACAAACATACCACCACAGCCACACCAACACCTCTACAATCACCACCATTAAACCCAAGACCACCACTGTTAAACCACAACCATGACCACTGCCACTCCACCAGATCTAATCCGATCCCGATGGCCCCACCTCACTACAACCTTCTGATGCTGCCATGAGCTCCTACGCGCCACCACAGATTGCCCTGCTATTCATAATTTTTGGTCACCTTTGAACAACAAGAAGAAAAATGGCGGATGATGTCACAACCCATTCCTCTGGTCCAGTCATAAGAAAAAAATGGAAAATTGTTTTCCTTCACAAATTTACAGATCAGACACCTTCAGTTTTGGCTTGGAGGCATTGCAGGTGTGAAGCCAAAGCCATGATTATATGGGATCCTTGCATGATTCCATGCCAGAAACCGTTCTAGTCTAACAAATAAACCTCGGTTCCACAATCAATACCCCTTGGGACCAAAATGAGGGCTTTTAAGTTTAGTTAAATAAAAAAGAAAAAACAATACATACAAAATTGCTAACATAAAGCAGAGTATAGGATTCATAGAAAACAACTGCAACCTATGCAACAAATAGTAAATAGACTAAGCTTTAACAAACAGTAGCAAAAGCATATGGAGACCCTATTAGAAGTTAATAGTTCAGGTACATACAGTACTCAAGATAAGCTTCAGCTATCATGAATCCAATATATAAGAAACATCCAAAAACTAAACTTACATCCTCTCCGCATTTGGCCCATATTTTGCAAACTGAACAGTTATCTCTCGACCATCAACAACTTTTCCTGAAAAGTATTTAACATTTTCAAGACAATTAGGAAGCCAAGACGAATTTCTTTTTTTAAAAAAAGGAAAATTAAACCCAGATAAAAATAATAGGAATAACAATAATAGTAATGCTTCTAAAAATAAAAATGTGCATACCATCGAGCCTTTCAACCGCTTTCTGTGCTTCATCGGCATATTTGTATCGCACAAATGCAAAACCCCTAGACTCGCCAGTCCTAAACCACAAAAGGAAAATAAATACCCAAATCCAGTCTTCAAATAGAAAAACAATTTACTGAAACAAATACAACAAAAACTTAGGGGAAAGGACATAATTCAAATTTGCATTTCCTACAAGTTCCTAGTCCTCCACTTTAAGAGAAGCTAAATTGCTCCTCCGAACACGATACACAGATGATCAAAAGCGTCGATTTCCCATATCTTCTCAGCATCCGTGAGAATAAGAAAAATAAGGATTAAATGGGATTACAAACAAGAACAATATCTTGGCAGTTCTTCATTGATGAATATTGTTTTCCAACATAACAAAGCTACTCAATTTCTTCGGAAACAAACATATTATTGAAAAAAATACACACAAAACTAAAAGCTTTATCCCAACCAACCTTCGGTCTCTGGGGATGAAAATGTCGACAACTTTGCCATACTTATCGAAAAGCGGAAACAGATCATCAGCGCTCGTACCTATTTAAATCAAATAAATCAACAAATTACCGCCATTAAATCGCAAAAAATAAAAACAGGGCAGAAGCAGAGACAGAGACTTACGAAAGGTTATGTTGAGGACCAGGAGAGAGTAAGTGTCAGCGATGTCAGGAGGGCCAGACCTACCAAAGTGAGACATGGTTCTTGCTCTGTAAGAGAGATAGAGAGATTGGGATTAGGGTTTGGATTTGTGGCGAGTAAACTTGGAGGGTGGAATAGAACCTTCCTGAAGAATGGTTGCGGTTCCCCGACTGCAAAATATATCCAGGGATGAGGAGGAGTCTGGACCGTTTTGGATTTAGGGCTCAAAATCAACCCAAACCCAAAAACCTTTGGGCTACTGACAACCCCCCCCCAAAAAAAAGGGTACAAAAGAAAACCAAATTACACTGACTCGATCGCACAATAATATGAACCATTCAGTTTTACAAGGATCATTCGTGCAATAAATTGAAAAACACATGACCTACGTGCATTGTGAGATAGTTCTTAGAAAATGTCCGAATTTTTTTTAATTTAAACCAAGTACAAACTTACTTGAAAATTGTGTGTGTATTTTTAATGTTCGTTTTTTCTTTTCATATATGAATACTTCGTTTTTTTTTTATACAAGCATTTTAATTACTCAAGATCAAAACCCTAAATCCTCAGAGAGAGAGAGAGAGAGGGGGGAAGGTGGATTGGCATGGGGAGAAGCAGCATGGAGAGTGAGTAGGGCGAGGAAAAAAAAACAGATAGGAGGGGGCGAGAATGGGTGGGGATAGATTTTTTTGTTGTTCGCTTTTACTTCTATTTTTTTCCAAAAAAAATAATATTATTTTTAATGATTTAACAGAAAATTAGATGAAATGTTGAGGATTTAGACTGTACGGAGAAATTGATAAAAAAGAAGAAGTTTATATACTTAATTTTTCTTAATTTTAAAAAAAGAAGATAGGGGGTCTATAAGTTTTTTTTTTTTTTTTTTGGTCAACTTGGGGGTCTATAAGTTAGGTGTGAGTTCATGGGCAAATCACCAATTTAGCCTTTGTCGACATATATCGTTTAACTTAACAGTTGCTAACACCGTCAATTTCTATTAGAAAAATAGAAAAATAGAAAAATAAAACGAAAACACTACTCCTTCAGTACGCTGATTATAGACTTCTTAATTTTTCTCACCACAACCCAACCTCTCTCCCATCTCACAACCTACATGCTAATAAAGAGCCACACACAGCCCACTCTTATTAACTGCGTATCTTTTTTCTTTATTTCTAGTTTTCATGGTTACTTTTTTCTCTAGGTCGCATTTGGTTCACAGAAAGGATTTGATGGAAAATGGAAGATTCTTTTCCCATGTTTGGTAATATTGTTGGGAAAGTGACCGGAAAATACCACTTTATTTCTTTTTCCATATTTGGTTGTGTAGGAATGTAAAATAAAGTTTATTTAAATTTTCAATTATACCCATATGAAATGAAATAACAAAAGCATGCATTTAATGCTATATTGTAATTCTAAATTGTTAACGGGGACAAAATAGTCATGAAAAGTATGCATTTAATACTGGCCCATTTTCCCAAACTTTCCCATGGGAAGGGAAAATGAAACCTAAGGCCCCATTTGGTTCATGGGAAAGGAGGCTTGAGAATGAGAATTCAATTGTTTTCCCTCGTCATGGGAAAGTTTGGGAAAATGAGCCAACATTCAATACACAATTTTCATGACTATTTTGTCCCTATGAACAATTTATAATTACAACGTATCATTAAATGCATTCTTTTTTTATTTGATTTAATATGGGTATAATTGAAAATTTATACAAACTTTATTTTCCATTCCTACTCAAAACAAATATGGGAAAAGAAACAAAGTGAAATCTCCCGGTTACTTTCCCGACATTAACAAACGTGAGAAAAGAATCTTTCATTCCCATTCCTTAGGAAATGACATGGGAAGTGATTTCCCCTCAAATTTATTCCCTGAACCAAACGGGGCCTAAGGAGGGAGGAGAGTTACATTTTCCTCTTATTTTCTCATGTGCCAGACAACCATTTTCCATACATGGATTTTCCAAACATGAGAAATCAATTTTCCCATTACAAAGCCTCATTTCCCATAAACCAAACTCAACCTTAGCTTTTTGTTTCAAAAAATCCTAAGAAAGGCCATGGAGTTTTACATTCCACCCGATATGTCAAATTAAAATATTATTTTATTACATATTGTTTATTGGTTTATTACTATCTAGGCACATTAATTAAAAAATAATAATGAAATAACATCACAAGGTCAAACAACCAAAAATAACAGCAAGAGAGAAAAATGTTATTCCATGTAGGATTTAACATTTTGGTTGGGGTGTGAGTCTCATCTATTTTTTCTAGGGATGGCAATTTTCCAAGCGGGTAAGGGTTTTCGTAGGGATTCGACCCTAATGGGTCAGGTATGAAGGACAAAAAAAGGGGTATGGAGACGAGTACGTGGAATTTTTTGGGTATGGTGTTTGGAGAGGGGCGAGGATGATATTTTAATCCCTAACCCGAACCTTCCCCATTTAGAATATATACATACAGCCTTCTTCTATTGAGAGGAATCCCTCAAATAATTTTATTTGAAGGAAGCCCTTTAGGGCTCCCTAATTTTTTTTTTTCCAACGATCCAAACTATTTATTTTTGAAGTATACATTCATAGATCGTCCTTGCAAAAAATTAGACAAATCGGAAACCGTTTCGACATCCAATTGTATCTTACAAAATCAATGAACATGGTGCTTCAAGAAAGTACTAAAATTTCAATAACACAATTGAGTGGTCAAACGATATTGGATTCAAGTGATTTTTTATAGAGATGATCTTTGAATGATTATCTAAAACATAGATGGTTTGGATTAGTGAAATACAATATGGAGTATGCCCTACAAAGGTGTCCCTCAAATAAGCTTATTTGAGAGATCCCTCAATGGATTCTCTCTGTATATATATACAGTCCCCTTCCATTGAGGGATCCCTCAAACAATTTTATTTAAGGGACACCCTTTAGGGTACCATACGATTTTTTTTTCTCTAATGATCAACCATTTATTTTTTAAGTTTGCATTCATAGATCATCCTTACCAAAAATTAGACAAATCGTAAACTGTTTCGATATCCAATTGTATCCTACAAAATCAATGAACACAGTGCTTTAAGAAAGTACTAAAATTTCAATAACACAATTGAATGATCAAACGATATCGAATTCAAGTGGTTTTTTTTTTAGAGATAATCTTTGAATGATTATCTAAAACATAAATGGTTTGAAATAATGAAATACAATGCGGAGTGGGCCCTACAAAAGTGTCCCTCAATGGAAACTATATATATATGCTATTAAAGTGATTGCACCGACTAAGTTTTATATTTTCTATTATTATTTATATAATTTATACAAATCTTTAGCCACACTACCAAGGGAGGAACTAAGAAGGGGCTCTAGTGGGCTGTAGCTCAGTGCTAAGTTTCCAATTTAAGCTTCAATGTATAAATAAATATTAGCCCACTAGCACCACACAACACTATTATTGATTCTCACAATTTTCATGGTTAGAGTATTCTCCTACAACAGATAAGGCATATTGTTTACCATGCTTTGTGTTTGAAAAGAATCCAACAAATGGGTCTTCACTAAATACTGATGGGTTCAACAATTGGAAAATAGTGAATGATGGAAAGAAATGTGCATTTTTGCAACATGTTGAAGGTCCATCTTCACCACATAACACTTGTGTAAGATGTGCTGATGATTTAATGAAATCATCTCAACATATTGAGAAAGTTATCCACAAACAACCAAAACAGAAAATTTGGAAGGTTATGATGAATCCATAGACTCAATGAATTGAGGAAATTTCATCAAATTGATAAAATATACAACGCATTGGAATGATAAAAATTGCTGAAGTTGTTTTAGAGAATGTCCCGAGAAATGCTAAATATACCTCACCATTGATTCAAAAGGAAATGTTGCATATTCTCCCTGACAAAGTGAGAACTAAAATTCATGAGGAAGTTGGAGAATCGACTTATTGTATTCTTGTGGATGAAGCAAAAGATGCATCTACCAGAGGTCAAATGGCCATTATTTTAAGATTTGTTGATCATGATGGTTTTTTACGAGAATGCTTGTGTTGATTGCTTTGCTTCTTTTGAAATTGGGAAGAGGTTGAGTGAATATTGCTGCTTTAATTGGGGTCGAGTGCGGATTGATTAGAAGAGCGCAAAGCTGGTTTTGCTTAATTTGATTAACTGCACTCATGCTGCATGCATTCTGTGTGAGATTAACTGCACAGCAGAAAATTTGGAAACTTTGAAAGTCTTAGGCCTCTCTTTTGTTTCTGATATTTGGAAACTTCGAGGAAACTAAAAGCGGAATCAAATTAATTGGTGGAAGGAAGAAATTTGCATGTTTTAGTTTTTCATTTTCTCTCCAGGAGGATGATGGGTTCTTTGAAGCCATTGTTTTGCTTGAGTGCAGGTTCATTAGAAAACAACTCTCACCTTTTCACTCAATATAAAAAACAAAAGGCAAAGGCAGCAGGTATTTTTAGGCAGAGAGCGCTCAAATAGTAAAGTACTTATTGACTTATAAAAAAAAGCTCCCCTAATATTTATAATTGGTTCGGTGATTCACAATTTTTTTTTGGCACAAATGCGATAGAATTTAATGATGAGGATGAAAAAAACAAGTACAAAAATTTGGTTATGTCCTCAAGGATTAGGCGATAATCTTTACATCAAATGAGTGTATGGTCATTGGACTACCTAAGTAGCCTACCTACTCAACCTCTAGCGAAAGGAGGAACCTTGCCTCTGATAGAGCACTCCCGATCTCTCTGTGTGATCCGTAAAAACTACAAATTACAGAACATCTGGAAGACAATCTGGTAGCTCAACAAACCAAGAAATCACAGACCCCAGATTTAAGGCACATTTTGCAAGGAGAACCATCCATCCTCAGTGACCTGCTTCAGCAACGCTTTGATATCTTCCATAATAGGACCCACAAAAGATCTATTCTTGGTAGACTCTCCATGGATTGCGATGATTTGGAGAAAATCCCTCTCAATCCTTGCAGCCAACGGCTCAATCTATAAAGCTGGAAAATACATTATCGAATATTGGACTATCCTGCCTGCCTACCACAAAGGTCCCTATTTTACTAATGTATGTCGCCCACTTGTAGAAACGAAGAGTTGATTCACTCCCTCTTTTTCCTTTCATGCACTTCCCCAAAAGAGAGAGTAACAAAAGGTTTTGAGAAAATCAAAGAGAATTGACGACCTAGTCAAACAAAGCATGGAAAATATTCAGATATGCTCATATATGCTCAGATTATTCTTCTTCAATATGGAGGTATTTATAAAGAAGTACAACCCTAAATAAAATAGGAAATAAATCCAAATTAAAATAGAAAATAAATATAAATTACAAGAGGAAATAAATCTCAACTATAATAGGACTAGATACATGGGTAATTAACCAAAGTCCTAACATAGTAAGGAACCCAAATCCTAACTAATGACTCGCCAACACTCCCCCTCAAGTTGGGGCAAAGATATCTCGCATGCCCAACTTGACAAACGAGTCATAGAATAGCATACTCGACATTGACCAATCGAATAACTGTAGAGAAGGCCTTGTCATAAATCACAAGTGAAACAACTGACAAACCCTAACAAATAGGGCACATAGAAGAACACATAAAAGCAAAACACAGAAACCCTGTGAGCACGACAGTAGATAAGACAGAACACATAAACCATGTGAGCACGGTAGTAGGTAAGGCAGAACACAAAAACCTTGTGAGCATGACATTAGATAAGGAAGAACACAGAAACCCTGTGAGCACGGCAGTGAGCATGTCAGTAGATAAGGCATAACACAGAAGTCCTATGAGCACGACAGTAGATAAGACATAACACATAAATAAGTGAAGAAATAAAGGCATCAATATTGGGCATGATGATGAATGGTGGGGTGGCGGTAGCGGTGACAATAGTAAGGTAGGCAGTAGTGGCAACAATAGCAAGGTAAGCGGAGGCGGCGAGCTAGGATTATAGTCTAAATGTATAGTGCAGCGGCAATAAGTAGTGTTTAGGGTTAGGGTTAGGTTTTATTTATTTATTATTTATTTTTTTAATTTCAATTTTTTCAAATGTTGTAGAGACAGATCAAAATAGAGAACATCATTGGCAATTACCATAGCAACATAAAGCGAAACAAACAAAGGCAACATCAATAGCGGCAGCAATGACCACAACAACGGCAACAACCACAGAAATAGTAGATGAAAACAATGACAAATTCTTCCATCTGAACTTTAGTTAATTCACGCAGACACAACTTCTCTTCACTCCCCCTTTCCCCCTGAAGAGAAAGGGTCGTCGAAGCCAAGAAATAGGCAATATCTTCATGGGAATATGTCAAGATAATGGGGATACGTCAATAAACATATCCTTTTCACTCTCCCTCCCCCCCTTAGAGCACTTCCAGCAGTTTGCCATTTGCCATGGCAAGAGGGAGGCTAGGGCAGCCAATATTCATGTGAATAGTGGCAGCTCTTGCAAAAGGTTGTGGTGTTTCCACCAATTACCATGGTGGCAACTATTCACATGAGATATGAGGAGAGAAATTTATATAGAGTTTGATGTGGGAAGTGAAAACTATGACTAAGTATTTATTTATTAAAAAAAACAAATCTGAAATTTTTTGTATTTTTTTATAAATTTTTTTGTTGTTGACGTCATCGCTAACGTCAGCAAACCCAGGCTTGAATTCGGGCTCATCTTGCCTGAGGGCTGGCCTGGTTTCGTGGGCCCTAGTAGCTGCCTTGGCCAGCCCTTGCTGCTAGAAATGGCTTTTGGGCCTGTGGGTCACAAGAGACCAAGTCAAACAAAGCATGACAAATATTCAGATATGCTCATATATACTCAGATTATTCTTCTCCAACATGGAGGTATTTATAAAGAAGTACAACCCTAAATAAAATAGGAAATAAATCCAAATTACAATAGAAAATAAATATAAATTACAAGAGGAAATAAATCTCAATTATAATAGAACTAGATAAATGGGTAATTAATCAAAGTCCTAACATAGTAAGGAACCCAAATCCTAACTAAGGACTCGCCAACAACCCTCACATTACTGTGATATCAGATGTTCTGAAGATTTAATTTCATATACAAACATATATATCGACAGCAAGCCTGTGATGCAGGTGAAGAGACTTGGGTGGAAGTTTCCGGTGGAATCATACCATCTTGGTTGATGGGCTCGCAGCTTGAAGTTTTCTAGAACTCTGTTAATTCTTGGGTCCACGAAAGATGAAAAGTCATTAATCAGAATATAAGGGGAAATAAAAAACCTTCCCCTCTCCTGTTAGGAAACCAAAAAGTCAAGGAATTTCTCCCTAAAGCCCCACCTTTATCGCTGTCCTTCCTCTTTCATCCCCCTATATACCTTTTTTGCGTCTTAGCCTTGCCCTATAAATTTCCCCCAAAACCCTAAAACATTGAGTCAATAACCGTCAAAACTCTTCCACTCTCCTTCCCCAAAGCATAATAGCCCTAGCTATCTATGTCGATCACCATCACAGACTACGAATTGGAATGCAACACCCACGACCTCTACAGAGTAGATTTCTTCAACGACTATATCAAAACCCTAGTCACACACACCCCCTCCAAGCTCAGGTCTTGGATTCAAAAAATAAAATACCTACACCGTTACAGGCTCCACAAGCTCATTGTAGGGCTCGATGTAGAGTGGCGTCCTTCCTTCACCAAAGGTATCACCAACCCCGTTGCAACCCTACAGTTGTGTGTGGGCCACAGTTGCCTCATATTTCAGCTTCGCTATGCCCCTCGGCTCCCCAAGTGTCTGTTTGACTTTCTTGGGGATCCCGGGTTTACCTTTGTGGGAGTAGGAATTCGGGAAGATGTTCGAAAGCTTATGGATGATTATGGGCTTGTGGTGGCAAATTTTGTCGATCTTAGGGTTTTGGAGGCGAGGAGGTATGGGTGGAGCGTGCCCCGGAATTTGAGTCTAAAGGACATGGCAGAGGAGGTGCTAGGGCAGGAGTTTCAGAAGCCAAAGACTATTACTATGAGTCACTGGGATAAGCCATGCCTCTCTCTTGCGCAAGTCAAGTATGCCTGTGTTGATGCCTTTGTTTCTTTCGAAATTGGGAGGGTTTTGAGAGCAGCAGATTAAATGTGCACACAGTTTTCCTTTTCCTTTTCTTTTCCTTTTAGGTAAGGATGAACAATTGATAAATAATTGCTTACTGTCCATGCGTTTACTATATAAGTCTGTATGTTCGTTTGAATTTTTTCCCATGATGTCAAACTCTTAGACCTCTGTTCTTATATGGTTCCCAAGTTTGGGAATTGTGTGAGTGGTACATATCTTTTACAAGTATAATTGTGTGTTCTTTTGTCATATTGTTATGTGAAAATCTTAGGCCTCTCTCTTGTTTCTGAAATTTGGGAACTTTTAAATAGTGCAAACAAGGAACGGGATCAAATTAATTAGTGGATTGATGGAGGAGATTTGCATCCTTTAATTTTCCTTCTCTTTCCAGTTAGATTTATTCTTTGAAGCCCGTGTTCAGGTAGCTAAATGAACCTTGCAACCTATTTCTATGGAGGAGTGCAGATTCAGTAGAAGATCTCAAAGCTGATTTTGCTTACTTCTAGCTAGCACTCAGTCTGCATTCTGCATTCTGTGTAAGACCAATCAATAAGTATTTGGGTAGGTCAATGAGAGATGTTTCACATTTCACTATCATCAACAATCTTGTCACATAACATTTGCTCACCCTGGTTTAACTTGTTTTGCCAAACCATGGCTTGTTTTCCCTTGCAAATAGTTTGGGGAGCCTTTCAATTTTTTGGAAATTAAAGCAAGGTTTTAATCCAGGTTAAAAAGGTTCAGATTATTAGATCATTTTATTTGGCTCGTTTTGCCAATAATGGCTGTTCTTCCTATGCTTATTATTTTTCGCTAATGGTGGTGTTGATTTATTTCACTTGTTTTCCTGAAATTCCTTTTACGTATAGAGCAATGCATGTACTTAGGTAAGCAGCCTCTCTATGAAAAAAAAAAGACTCACTTGAAAAACCAAACATTGCTACATATAAAGATCGATTTTGGCCAATTGATTTTTATTTTGACAATAATATTCAAATTATTCCATCGCGCATAATATCGAGCAATTTATTTGCTCTTTTTTCGCCTCAAGACGATCAAACGTCGAACAAATCACTAACAGAAGAAGATGCAATAACAAGCTTCATCAGTTAGAGGAACAGTAGGAATGCATGAGTGTCCATCATATTGGTCATGGTGTTTGTTCCTGCACTTCTCCCCGCAGTCTGATAAAGTACACCCGCCGCTTCGAAACAGTATTTCCATGCATCTCTTTTGTGCATAAGCTTGAGGCACATTTTGGTTGTTCAAAGCAACTGCAAAATCATCAAATTTATATAAGTCAACATTTTTTTTTTCTTTCCTGCAGAGTATATCTGAAGCAATTCTATTCAATTTACAAGACCTGCCAAAACTATCCCTCTCCCATCTGGCCCACCCTTTCAAATGTATATATTTTTTTCAAACACAAGCAAGAAAGGGAAACTAAGCCCAACTCTCTCAACCATGGAAATATAGCAAAAATCAGTCAGTACTCCCATGTTTTTCATCTTTCCAGTTTCTAAATCTACCCAAAAGGCAAACCCTTGAAGAAAAGAAAAATAAGAACACACACACTTCTCTCGCTCTATCTCATGGCCCAGTTTCGCTCTCTGCCACTTCAGTGCTTGTTTTCATCTTTTTCATCTTCTTTTTTTTTTTCTTTTTTTTTTTTTCATTTCATAAAGATTGGTGTGAGGACGGTGGGAGGAGGATGAAAAGGGGAAGAGGACGATGGAGGAGGATGGGGCCAGTCATTTAAAAAAAAAATTAGCAATGATAAAAACGAGAACTAAAACATAGGGTTTTTAAAAATAATAAATGGGGGACATGTGTCACTCAAATACATAGGGTACGGGGTGGAGACAGACAAATTGGGTACATAACATCTCAACTTGCTACTAACACAGTCTAGCTTACTGGGAAATGGCTTTCACTTGACATTCTATATAGCAACTATGTGTGTAACAAGTATGTATATTTTTGCTTAGTGGAATGTGTTGGAATTTTGAAAAGGTTTTGAAAATTTTTACCGTTTCGATTTATTTAATTATTTTGGTTATTTTATTTTATTTATTGAGGGGATTATCAATATTTAATTTTCAGATTTTATTAAGATATTGAACGTCTTAATTTTCTAGTATAATGTGGTGAATGTTATATATTCTTGGATGCCTATAAAAGGTCACTCATCCTTCACATTTGAGACTATACCACAATACCACATATCACAATGACCACCACAATATGATTCTCTCATCCAGTGGCAGTTCTTAGGGCGTGCAAGGTGAGCACAAGCATAAGGCCCACTTCTAAGAGGGCCCCAAAAATATTTGTAGGGGACTTTTTCTTCTTGTAGCTATAATGGGTTGAGCTGCTGTAAAGGGCAGACTGAGGAGACTGTCCTTTTTGCTAGGGTTCAAAAATTAAGCCCCAAAAATACTTCGAAAGGGCAGCAAAGCCTTAGAAAATATTTTGGCTACCTTCACCAACCAAAATAATGACAGCTTACAAGTGGTTTTGGCATGCTTATAGATAATATTTTTAACTCAGCATGAGTGACATATGGCATGGAAGCAAAATCAACATGAGTTTAGCACTAAGAGAACATTTAGGCTTTCTTTGAGGGGAAGGGAAATGTTAGGGTAAGAAATGAGAAGTTTTGTGAGAGATTTGGCTAGGAAAGGGAAAATGAAGAGCAGAGTTCTTTTGGCAGCTGCCAGAAGAACAAAATGGAGAAGGAGATGAACAGTGCACGAGGTTTCTAGATTTTTGCAAGTTAGAGAGAATGCTTGCTCTTTGAATCTGAGTTGCCTTCGTTATGTAGGATAAGCCTCAATTTACAGCCGTTGGAAACCATCATTTTTCAAGAAATCCTAATGGCTTTTACCCATTTTGGCTAAACTTTTCCCTCCTTTCTTATTTCCTCCTTTGGTTTTTCCATTTTGATGAAATCTCTCATATCATATCAGAGTTTTTGAAGCTCAAGGCCCCCATTTTCCTGCAGCCACCTTAATGGCAGATTTTCCTCTTCCAGCCATTTTGTTCATTGCTTTCTTCTTTTTTTTCTATGGCCAAGTTTGATGAGGAAAAGAGTTGGGATATACATGTTGGTTTAAAGGGTACTTTTGACAACTCGCATGCCAATATTCCTTGGTCCCCTTGAGTGTTTCTTGCTTGGAACTTGTTCCCTTCATGTGCTGGAAACTCCCAGCAACTTAGTTCAATGGATCTGCAGACCTTCTCTACATGGCTTCTATTTTTTCAGCAAAGGGCTGAGACTTTTGAGGCTTGTTTTTGGGGTTTTGTATGGACCGGGGGGGTCCTTTAAGCAGGTGGGCTATTTTATGAAACATTGGGCTTAAGCTAATAGGCTATTTGTGCTTTTTTTTCTTTTGGGCTATTTCTTTTCCCTTGTGCTTACCCACATGTTTGGGCCTAAGAAATGGGCTTGAGTCTCGAGATTCCCAAGCAATTCGAGACTTTCCATTTCTTGGCCCATTAATGGGCCTCATGCTGACTTATTACCATCCATACCACAACCCACTCAAGCAAGCCCCAGGTATTTGAGTGGCTTGTGTCCACTTAAGCTTGTAGCGTGGTTGGGAGTGAGATAACGATTTCGTGCTTGGCATGTTTTAATTTATCATCCTGCGATGTTTAATTTTGGCATGGGCTTGTAGACCCGGTATATTTTATCTCAAACCCCTAGCGAATTTATTTATTTAGCGTGGCACGTGAACTGTAATTCGCATGTGATGGGTTTTTATGTACTCTTCTTTACGCTTCTTAAAGGACTGTCGTTTTGGACTGATAATTTATTCGGGCCCAATCATGAATTTTTTGGGTCTCAACAATATTATATTACTACATTAAATATTATTATTTTATTGAGGCTACATATTTTTTTAAAATAAAAAAAATCAGATTGGGGTTAGTTTAATATACTGATATAATATTAATAATATAACATATACATTAACTTTGCGGGCCGAAAAAAAAAACTTTCCATACTAAACACATTAACAAAACAAAAAACAAAAAACAAAAACTTTGAATACATAATATATTAATGTAATATATAACATAGCTCAACCTTATATACCATTCAAGTTTATTTTTCTTTTCGCCCAACTGTCATAAGCCATGTAGCCTTCTTTTGAAAGTTTCATGAATCAAGCTCAATTCTCTCTCTCAAATTCTTAAGAGTTTTCACTCCTTTTTTCTAAATCATAATTGAAGAAATTTCTCAAATCAATGATTTCATCCTCATAAGATCAAGACAAATTTCCTCATAAGATCAAGACAAATTGAGGTAAAACTTTGATAGTATAGTTATTGATCCAAGAAAATTCATTAATTATTTTTCGAAGAATTTTTGTTCAATGCAACTGTCTTTTGGTGAGTTTTAGTTGTAAATTTGCTATCAATATATATGATCCACTTCTAATAATTTTGTTGAATATTTTGTTTTAAGAGGCTCTATCACTCATTTTGCACAGGGCCCCAAAAATCTCAGAGCCGCCCTTGCTCTCATCTTATACCTTTCATATATACTTTCTCTACTTATATTATTATTTTTGGGCAATGGTTATTTGACTTGGAGACTTATATCCGATTGTGAATGTGCTCATAGCGACATTGAGCTTATGTATTGGGAGTCGTATCTTGGAGTCTTGTAAACCGTCCCTACCTGCACGTAGAGAGTCTCCAAAAACTTTAGGACACCATCTTTGATGTGCTTCACCATACCACACTTGTTTTCATTATGTTAATTTATTTTACTTTTATTTACCTATTATTTGTTCATTTAGTTTTACTTTACCTTAAAAGACATTCCAATTTATTTTATATATTATTTATATTATAAAGTGTTTTGCTTTTGGTTTTTATGAAAAGAGAAAAACTATAATTTTTATAACAATCTAAAGCCTTTGTAGGATAAATTATTTCCTTACCGTATTGTTGTTGGTAATATACTTTAACTACACGTTTTCAAAAACCAAACTTTAAAGTCCAACTTA